TGCATCAGAATGATTATAGTTACACATCGTCTGTTCGAAAGCAAAATATTTTTTGTAGATAATATATTTCCATCTCTCAAATCGCCTCTAACTTCCGCGTAATTCAAAATGACTCTTTCAACATTAGATGCGCAACATTATTGCGAGGAACTATCTATAGAAGTATCGTTGTATAAAACGTATAAAAGTTGTGTATTTCCTTCAGAAAGTATAAAAAGAAAGTAGAGTAGGCTCTGGAATGATATTACAACGGAAGTGAATTGACGTGAAATTCACGACGATCTTTTCCTTTTGTACAAGAAATGATCGGGAGGTTTAAGCGTTGCGTATGTACTTTTAACTTTCCGCAATGCTTAATTCAACCCCTTGCATTGCATGATCACGAAAAAGGCATCGCATACGGTGCGCCGAGAATTTATTTCTTTCTTTTATCTCTTTCTTTAAACTATCCCATACACGCGTATCTCAATATTGTGTACCTTGTGCGTGCTACGACGTATCGATTTGATTCCTTCCGCGGTGCAATTTTTCTCTATTATGCACTGTCCAAACGGAATGCTTAACGAGGCCAGTGAATTCCTCCCCACGCGTTGCACTTTCCGCTTGGTAAGGTTTGGCAAGCGCAGTGCTATACCCGCTGCGGGACCGTCAAGATGGATAGTGTTCAAGGTCAATATATGCGTATCAATCAGATTCTTATGTGTCTCATTGGCCAATGGCCGTATCAGGAGGGATGGGAAAAATTTCTGATCCAATTCGTCTTCGTGCCCGCGGTTTTCTCTCAGGCGATTGTACAGGTAAACTCCCTTTTGAATTTTCTTTAAGTGATACAACTAATGAGTTTTCATAATATTATTGAATAACTAATCGCGCAGCAAAGATAATGTAGCAATTGACTATGCATATACATATAAAAAGTCTAACGACGATCGAAAATAAATGAATTGGCTACTAAGTTAAAGAATTTTTTTTTTTGTTTTGACTAATAATAAATCACACTTATTATGATAAAT